TGTGTTAATAGAAATCTTAGGTTTGCCTGCTCCCAGTAACTGAGCTGTTGAAATGGAAAGCTTTTTAAAGCTTTTGATAACAACTGGTTTCATTATTAAAGTTGGGACAACAATTTGAACAGTATTTGCAGCAAGTTCTATTTGATATCTGATTTTGCAAATCTGTTGCTATTATTGCAGAATCAGCAGCAGACTCCTTCCAAGCATCATATACCACCACTGTCACATCAGCCCCAGTTTCATCCTATTCATCAGAACCATCATCAACCAGTTCACCAAAATCAGCATACAGCTCATTTTCCCCAGAATCATCAATGTGGTCCGCCATCACACTTACCTGAAATTAGTCATGCGCACCCGTCATCAACCATGTCTCAACACATAGCTTGCTTACAACCCCTATCAGGGGGGCATGTTGGAGCACGTTTGCATGTTATGGTGAGGCATGAATTTACCTATTTTTCAGTGGCTATCCTGTTGTTCTAATTTCTTATTGTAAATTGTTTCAATCTTGCTGCTCTAGCACTCACAATAGGTGATGACTTTAGGGAGAATGGAGGAAAGGTCATGTTGCTGACATTATACTTCATGGCAATTTGCGTATCTATTTAAACTTGTGTAATAACAATGAGAAGTACCATATACGTGATTTTGGTTTAATACTCTTAAAATTCCTAATGTGAGCCTGGCACATTGATAGATGGAATTGCCATTAGTATGACTTATGAGAGATTGGCCCAAGAGGTGATGTGGTTAATGATAACATCAGTGTTCTTGGGAGCATTTACCTACAATTCTTTTTCCTACAATCCTGCAATTATCCAATCACAACAAAGAATTATGTAGGGGTCCACCACTTATATGTGTGGGCTCCTTATAATATTTTGGACCCTACATAATTCATGATTGTGATTGGTTAATTGTAGGAGATCTGCTCCCATTGTTCTCATGGCTGTTAAACAAAGATGAGATGTTCCTAACATCAGCAAAACCTACTTTATTTGGCCAAGAAATTTTGGGGGCTCGGGATTGCAGTTGATTTTCATGAGGAATCAGAGGACAGAGAACATAAAATAGGACACTGAAAGCTTCTAAATAGCAATAATAGTGTTATTGCTATTGTGCTGAAATTTCTTCTGAAAGCTCAAATGATGAGAGTTATATATTTAAATTCTAATTTATATTGTGGAAATTGATGATGCCATAGCCACACTAAATTTTTCCCTTACAAGTGTTAATCTTGAAAGTGGTAAATAATTTAGTTCTAGCTCATAAAGTTGTGTATGATCTAGAGGTATTTATTGAAGGAAGTTGATGCCAGGATCACATCTGGAAACTGTTATTAATACATGTTTTAAATGTCACCATCTATTCTTTAAAGGAAATTTTCTGCTTTGAACTGAATTAGGATGCCTGTTGCACTTCTTCTAACCATTATAGAACTTATATGTACTCCCTAGTTTGATTTTTGTAAGGACTTTGATTTCAGCCTTTCTGGCATGCAAGCACTAGCTTCTTTGTTCTAGTACTTTTAATTTTGTGAGGCTTTATTCTGCAAAAGTTTCCATATGCCAAGTGAATGATTTATCTGCTATGTCTACTTGTAAGGTATCAATTTTTCTATAGATAGTCCATATTTTAAGGGGTTTGACTCCTCTCCATTACTTGCAATACACCTTTAATCACTATTCAAATATGTGGGGTCCAGAATCGTCCCGTACTTGTGAATGGTGTTGATGCATGTATTGGAAAAAATGTAATGGAGGGAAGTCAGCACATTTATAAATGCCTCTTTTCCCATTGTTAGTCCAGCCTGCTAGCAGAAAGAAGTCTTCAGGCAGGATTCATGTCTGGGTTTAAAGTGTTGCTAAGGTGTTTTTCCACCAGAATATTCATGTCTACTAGGAGATTGGCCCATTGTCATGTCTATAATCAGAAATTGCTTTGTAGGGTGGCTTTTGCTTGTTTTTGCTATGGCAATGAATGTGCTTTGATAAGGCGTTTGGTAATCATCAAACTCTAGAGACCTTTTCTGATCTTTTATTGATGAATATTTTGAGCTACATGATTGCACTGTGTTGATTGTGTTTTGTAATTTACATGCTTTAATTTCTCACTGTGAAAGAATAAAGTAATGCTTATGCTTTTGTTAATATAAAAGTCAATGCTGACCTCCTGTGAAATGCTTACATTTCAGCCTACGAGTCCTGCGAAATTCTGTGATGAATGTGGGGCGCCGTACCTGAGGGAAACATCCAAGTTTTGCTCAGAATGTGGTATAAAGAGGTTAGGGATATGATGGAATTGGTATGCTATATCTGAAGACCCAAAGCCATAGTGATATTCCTTAATTATACTGCTTGATGTTGAATTTTGGATCTTTACCCCCTAATCTGCAAATATCATTCAGTCATGTAAATAACTAGTTTGTCCCCAGGGAGATACACCCAACAGTTAGAATGGGACTTTGAACTGGTTCAAATTTGTTCGGTTTTGTGGGGTTTTCGTTTTGTACAAAAGAATGTACTTAAGTACATTTGGTCTGGCTCTGGCATAGAAACCTATATTTGAAAGGGCATATAAACTATTTGAAAGGGTTAATTCTTAAGGAAACCTATATTTTGTTCCGTAAGCTTTGGGGAAAAATTGCAGTCCACTCCCCATTCAAAATGAAAGGGGATTTCAATGAAACCTATATGGTCCATGAAGTGGCAGCAGCATGGGCATCTTGTTGTAACTTATCTGGTGCAATGCGCATCTCCTCCATGCCTGAAAGCCTTTGAATGTGAAGAACTAGTACTAGTAGTTGGGAAGAAAAATAATAAAATAATAATAGTAATAGTACTTGAGAAGAAGCGGCATGGATTGGAATGCAATCATAATCTGCCAAGTCTGGAGTCCCTCGGAAACTCCCACAAAATCCCGCTTACCTCTGGGTTTGACTTGCAGCTGCAGGCTGCAGGCTGCAGGCTGCGGGCGTACGTACCTCACTGATCACCCTGCTTTATCATATTTTAAAGTCCCACCCACTTCCTGAAATTCTGCACCTAATTTAATTTTATTACGTATACATAAATTCAACCTCTCCAAATAGAAATCCAGGATTCTGGTAAGAAAGAAAGGCCCCTCTTTGTCCCCCTTTTCCGCTTTCTCCTACCTT